ACAGGAGACTGGGGAAGCAGGTAGGGTCAACACCTTGCTCCCAGATGCCTTCGGTTAGAGGGAGAGGAGGCGTCTGTGGAGCATGACGATTCCAAGATCTGCATTCCATTCCAGCCTCAGCCCCAGATTTATGGGTATTTGCATTGAGGTAGCTCCTGGAAGCCCTGCCAGAAATCAGGGCTCCTTGGGGTGGGGCACTGTACACACACACACAGTGAGAGACGATCCCTGCCCCAGGGCGGGTCCACACTGCAATCTGTAGGAGTACAAACCCAGGGGCCTTGGCTGCCTCGTGCAGCCCATGCTGCTGCAGCGTCGCTGCTGTTGTGAGATGAAAGCTAGCTTGCTTTGTCTGCCATCGTCCCTCTGACTGCAGTGCAGACGTACCCAAAAGCTGAACGGCTCTGCACCCCATTCCATGATGCTTCTGAATGTGATCTGGAGTAGGGATAACAACCCTTTCTCCCCCCTGCCCCTGGTCAATGCAGAGTATAAATTCTTTAGGGGCAGAATCTGCCTCTTCCCATGTATCTGCACAGTGGGACCCTGATCTTGGGTGAGGCTAATGTTGCACCAAGAATAAAAGCCAGGGGGTTGAGTGAAACCCCCTGCTAGCTTTCAATATGTTGTGAATAAAGTGCTTGGCACACAGAGTTTGCTTTTTGTCTGCAATGCATTTTACAAGGTAGTAAGCGTCCTGCATTATCGCAGGGGCATGGCAGGATGGAGGAAGTGACGGATCTGCCTTAGGCCACAGAAGGAATATCATTATTTATGGGGCTCGATTCTCTCTTGCCCTGCGTCATTTACTTCTGCCTAGAGGGCAGGTGTGTTACATGTGATTGCTGAGTCAGCACACGAGCAGGGTGAACAATAAAACCTGGTTTTACCAATAATTAAGATCAATGCGGCTTTCATTTCAAGACATACGTCTTAGGCTTTCTGTCCTCTTCCCTTAAAAAATACCAGAGGGGGGAATCTGACTGAAACTGACCAGTGCTGACTACAGGAAGCCCGAGGCAGAGTTGCTCAAAAGAAGGTTTTTGGCAAATGTCCTAACCAGAGAGTTGCCAAAAACCAGCTGTTGGTTACATGAATATTAAATGACAGCCATTTGGGGTTACACGTTGCAACAACAAAATAATAATTTTCAAAGCAAAAAAAAAATGTTTAAATAGGACATTTTTCAACAAGAAAACCTTTTGCTTCACAAGATTTCAGCCACCCCCGGTAAGTCATGCTTCACGCGCGCTTTTGCGCTGGTGTCAATGGCAAGACCAGCTGCAGGGCAATAGAGAACCCGGCCCATTCTTTCCACTGTGTCTAAATACCCTAGGCAACGAGGAGGGCTCCTTTGTGCTGAGAACTGCACAGAAAACGCCACCAAGACAGTCCGTGCCCCACAGACCATCACACTGGGGAGGACAAGACAATATAGGTCTCTACTTTTGAATAAATTAACAGCTCCCAACAGTGGCCTCAAAAATCATCTGTCATTAGCCTCTAGGCATCCCTGGCTATCCATTCTGTGCTTCGACCACAGAGCTCCTTAGTATAAAGAGTAGGTTTAAGGCGTGCACAGCTTTGGATCCTTGCACGAGCTTTGCCGGTGCAATGATAGCAACATGCTACACTGGCAAAGCAGGACACAGATTATACAAACAGCGGAGCTTTTTCCAGTGTACTTGATTAGTCTACACTAGGGTTTTGACCAAGGCTGCTCTGTTGGTCAGGAGTTACCCACAACTGACAGCAGATATCTGTAGCCTAGATGGGGTTAAGCATCTACTCCACTCCCTGCAGTACCTCCTCTCTCCCTGCCCTCAATTCTCTCTGCCTCAAGCCTTTTACTTCACTGTAAAGAAAAGAAGTGTCTTTCCCTGCAATACACAGGGCAGGTCTGCCCTGTAGATCTCTGTCAGGCTGTCAGTCAATGTGTGTTTGGTAATGACCCCTGACCATGTAGCTATGGCAACTCTAGTCCCCAGTATAAATGGAGTTATATGGGCAAAGCTGGATTCTTATGGATACCGCACCATTCCACTTGGAGACGATGGTTTTACTGCACCTATAAGTGGCTGCTTGCCAGTAAAGCTACGCACACAACCAGGAGTGCTTTGTTGGCTTAGCATACCAGTATTTCTAAAGCATAAAGTGCACCTAGCGTAGACATGGCCCAGCTTTAACGTAGATACTGAAATTAAAAGCATTTTAAAATTCCCATTCACTTACCACTATTTATTCCAGTGGTTAAATACACTTGGCATTTGTTTCTCTCCGCCTGGCAATGAATGTGGTTTGCTACAGCTGCCTTTGGACAGCCCACAATGCAAAGAAGCCTCATTCCTTTAAGAACGGCTGAGTTTAAACAAAACCAGGGGAATCGTGTCTTTGGGTCTTGGGTTTTGTACAAGCTTTCTTTCTGCAGGGCCAGAATTTAGGACCTAGCATGTGAAATTCCTTTGCCTTGTGAGGATGGCACAGAAGGAAACCGAAACCAGCCGACGGGAGTTTGTTTCAAACTCAACAAACAACAAAAGAAACAGAGTCCAACTTTCAGAAGAAACAAAAGACAGGACTATGCAAAAGTCCTGTCTTTTGTTTCAGCTAGGCCAGACTAACACGGCTGCATCTCTATCAACTTTCAGAAGGACGTACGTGACTTAGCAGCCCAAGTCCTCTTTCCAGAAGCGAGAGAGACACTTAATGACAGGTACTATCATTTAGGCATGGTATGAAAGCTTAGACAGCAGAACAGTCTTATTGAAAATAGCTGGTTCTCCAAAATCACTCGGGTGCTATTGAAGTTGTGCCTTTAGTCACGAGGGCCCTTGCCTTCAATTCAATGGCCTTGACTTCTAGGCCGCAGTGTCGGGGCCTAAGGTACTTTGGCGCTCAGATATTTTACCCACTAGTCCAGTGCTCTGCCTTCAGAGCTGGCAGTGCGTTCCCCAGGCTCAGGCAGTGAACCGAGGAGCCAGGAAATTATTCACAGCTCTGCCACCGACTGTCTGTGTCACCTCAGGCCTTTTCAGTGCCTCGGCTTCCACTCCCACCCACTGTCTGTCTCGTCTGTGTCAGGCAGCCACTGACTGGTGATGATCCCAGTTGGGCTTTCAGGTGATACCATAAAACAATCAATAATAAACCCTCCAGTCCTGTTTTGAGCAAAGCTAACGTTTGCAGGAAGAGGCGCATCCTGCTGTAATTCCACGCCCGATGGACCTGCTGGCCAAGCCAGACAATTTAAAAGGAAAGTCAGTCAGTCCCCAGTGAACCCCAATCCCCTGCAATCTGGATCTGTGACCCAAAAAGCAGAGCAAGCTGTCAGCATAGAACACCACAAAAGAAATCCACAAAGGTTCACAGGGCTGAGCTAAGGATGTTAAAGACTAGTCGACTAGTTGATTCCTCTCCGCCCCCTCCCCGCTGCCTCTATCAGATAGAGGCAACTAAGGGTCGGGAAGAGGGGGTGCTTCAAAGTGGCAACACTGCACAGCTGAGCATGGGCTCAGCTGTGCAGCAGGCTGTGTGTGGAGCCCAGGGTCAGCTGGGGACTTCCCAGCCGATTCCAGGCTCCAGCACGGCATTTCCATGGAACCTGGGCTCAGCTGTGGAGTTTCCAGCTGACCCCGGGTTCTAGGGAGATGTCGCGCGTTCCCAGGTTCTGTTGAAATGCCATGCTGGAGCCCAGGATCAGCTGGGGAGTCCCCAGCTGACCCCGGCTCCAGCATGGCATTTCAAAGCCACAGCGCAGCCCCCTGCTGACCCTGGGCTCCAGCGTGGCATTTCAAAGCCACAGCGCAGCATGGTGCCTGGGGTCAGCGGGGGACTCTGAGATCCCCACTGATCCTGGGCTCCATGCTATGCTGCCGCTTTGAAATGCACAAAAGCCCCCCTGGGGACTCTTGCATATTTCAAAGCAAGCACTCTCGTGCAGCCCGGAGTCAGAGGGACTTCCCGCTGGCCCCGGGCTGCACACAGAGCTCTGCATTCCTCTGCTGGGGCTCTTGTACACTTCAAAAGAGGAATGCGGAAATGCCTATCGACTGGTGGAGTTAACGTCCATAGGCTGGGCGCCCAGCTGTTCTGCACAGCCCAGCAACAGGGCCCATCACTGCTCACTGGATGCCAGCTGATATGAACGGGAGCTTTGGGGGATGGGTGCCCCTTTGCAGATGTTACTCTGGCTTGACTCTTCCATGGCACCTCCCCACTCCCGGGGGTTCTGTTTGAGCCTCTCCTGTGTCCCCATCTCACCTCCGTCTGGCTGGGCCGACTGCAACGTGTCGGGACGATTATCCTTGTCCGCCGGCTGTGTTTCCATCGCCAGTTCATCTGCGGAAAGCAGCGGGCGGCGCCCGTGGGTGAAGCAGGGCACCAGCCTTTCCTTGTAGAGCAGGAAGAACACGGCGATGGGGACCGGGAGCTGGGGAGCCATGGGAAAAGGCAGGTCAGTCAGTGTGGATTTATTCTCCCTCCGTCCAATGCCCAATCCCCAGATTTGTTCCTGCAGTGGTAAGCGTGGCTCCCGCTGAGGGGGATTCTCACCGGAATGGCTGGGTGGTTACAGCGTTGGACTCAACTTCCAACAGGCGTGAGCTTGTGTGTCTGAATCCATCCCAGTGAGCGCAGGCCTCCATGAAGCTGCAGGTAGCAGAGCAAAGACCCTTGGCTATCATGCACCCAGTCTTCCCTCTGTCCCAACCAAGTGAGGAATGAAAGGGAGGCTGGGGGGCTCGGGAGGCTGATGGTGAGAGAAAGAGGCCATCACTTGCTGCTTGGCACAGAGGGGCTGAATGCAGAACTGGCTCACAAGTGAGAGATTTTCAACAGCAATTAGAAAGCTGAAGTCATTCTGTTCCAAAATGCTGCCGCGGTGCCTCACGCTCTCGTTTTCCTCCCAGGGAGTCCAGGTTAGAGAGGACTTTAGGGGGGCTCGGGAGGCTGATGGTGAGAGAAAGAGGCCATCACTTGCTGCTTGGCACAGAGGGGCTGAATGCAGAACTGGCTCACAAGTGAGAGATTTTCAACAGCAATTAGAAAGCTGAAGTCATTCTGTTCCAAAATGCTGCCGCGGTGCCTCACGCTCTCGTTTTCCTCCCAGGGAGTCCAGGTTAGAGAGGACTTTATTACCAGGGGGCACCATGGTCTCACTTCTTAGTGGGGGGGGGGGGGGGGGGG